TCGACCCCGCGTCGAAACGCATCAGGCCTTAAGTGATCACACGGCATACGGCCAATTTTTATCTGAACCCAGCGTAAAACGCATCGGGCAATTAAGGGTGATCACATGCTCATGCCGGGCACGCATACTCGCATAATTTCATCTCATGCCCCATTCTCGGCATACACAGTGCGTGGCCATGCAATGTCGCACAATGCAACATGAGCATTCAATTTCAGCACGGCATTTCAACAAACATGCCAAATCAACGTGCTCAAATAGCCAATCAATTGCCCATACTTATTCGCATAACATGCGCACTTGGTCAACTAGTACCATGTGGTCCAAAACATAATTTACGCGCTTGGGCAATAAACATTCACACCAATGATTGGCCAATCACACACCGCATTGCTCGAACACGAAATCAGGCGGCATGGCATTAAACAATTGAGCATGACAAAGTACCATTCAACCACCAAGTCGCTCAAATAAGGCACCACAAAATTTAACACAATCAAGCACAATTTGTACCCAAATCAGCCACTACATGGCCCAACCATTCACACATGGCAATTCACGAACAAACCACACATTAGCCGTACAATGCCCAATTAAACCTCAATGGATAGCCACTAATCAGTCCGAGAGAGAGAAAAACCGGGAATATACAAAATCGGGTCCAAACTGGGCAGTTACACAGTGACAGAAATCCATTTGAAATAAATGGTAAATCAATTCCAAAAATTTTGAAATTTGGATATGTTGTACAAAACATCTCGATGAACATTTTCCGTGCAGAACTAGAAACCCAGTTCTAACCGTAAACACCTCGTTTTGACACTCAAAGTCTTACAAAATTCGATTCGCTCAGACAGCCCCTCAGGCCATCAAAATACAACTCATTCAGTACCCAAATCATTTTGGAAAGCCTTGAAATTTTTATATGTTATACCCACAAATGTCCCCAACAATTTTTGTGAATGAAGTATTTTGAAAATAGGCCTGGAAAAATTTATAAAAATTTGAACAGACCAGAAGGTCGGGTGAACAGTAAGTCGGACAGTTTTGTTTCGGTCCAAAGATGAACTTCCGAATGGCCTTAAATGATTTCCAAAATTTCCCAAATTAAAGTATGTCATACTTAAAGATGTTGGAAACAACTTTCATGAAGAACACTTCTTCAGATTCGGCCTACAATGATCACAAAAAAAAAAAACAAAGCGTAGAGGTACAGTAAAATAAGAAATCCGAGAATCATTAAACTTGCACCATTAAGCAAATCCAGCTCATACAACCTCTAAACCAAGTCTCCACAGCCTTAAAACCATCCCTAAATCATCACCTTAGGCCCTTAAAATCACCACAACATCAACCCAAATCAGCCCCCACTAATTAACCCCTAAAACTTGTCCAAAGTGCACATAATCCTAATTAAGGGTTAGGATTTCCACTCACTAGGTTTAAGCTTCAAAAGTGGGCTGAACAAGAAGAGAAACGGGCTGAACAGTAGCTGGATCAAACCGGTTCAGCGACGGCGTCCTCACGGCGACGGACGGCTGCGTTCCGGCGGCGGCGACGGCTGCTCCGGTGGTGGCTGCTCCTCACGGCCAAGGGAAGAGAGAAGGGAGATGGTTGGGGGAGGAAGATGACCGGCGTGAAAATGAAGATGGGGGAGAGAGAAATGGGTCAAAGTGTGCTTATGGTCAAAACGGTGGTGCCACGTGTCGCGATCCTAGCCCTTGGACTATTTTGCCCCTTTGATCCAATGGCCATTAATCACTCCCATCCAATAATTGAGGGGCCTTTTGGTAATTCAATAATTCTAATAATTATCCACAATGAAGTCCCCAAAAATCCTCAAAATTCGGAACTCCAAAAATAGGGCACATGGGCATTTTCGTAATTTTCCGGTCCCGGGTCGAAATTCCATTTTTCGACCATACCGACCACAAATATGATTGGCCACTCAAAAATGACGTCGGCCTCGCAAAATAATCGTAAATACCCATAGAATTTTGACATCGAAGTTCGGATCCAATTTGGCGATCAAAATTGCTCAATTCAGAATTTTAGAGCCTCTCACTGATGGGTGGCTGTTTAGGGGTTATGCGTATCGACCTAGGGTCACTCGAGTCGCGACGGTTTCGATTACCGGGAGAACACAAGGAATTATTGGTTATTCCAGGGGTCACGATCGTTCGGTTCAAGTTCGGGATTTGTTCGCCACTCGTACTCTCGATCGAGCGGAATCACCCACGGTCCAATCGTACGTCGTTGGCCAAACCAAATCCGTCATTTTCCTAAGATCGGCCCACACTTGCCCAAAATACTTCCATGTCGTTTCTCGGAATCAGTGCCCGATTCGCGATCGGTTTCCCGGTCCACGTACCGTTTTTCCTAGTTAGCCTTTCCCATTGGTCAGTATCCCGCGAGGGGCCAGCTCCGGGCGAGACGTACTAAAATCATATGAGAAATAATATCCACTTTGTTGGATCCCGGAAATGGGTCGAAACTCAGGATGTTACACCGTGCATGCCCGAACTGGCAAAGTTCAAGCGTTTGGCCTATTCTAGTGGCCTTGACCTAAAGCAGTTTGCCCGTAGTTTGTGGAATTCAAACAGGTGAACTCTAGTTGAGCTAGAAATCCTCTAACGCTCCAACCAACGCCCTAACCAACTGTGTCAATTATGGGGGTTGAATCTGTTAGTATATTTCCAACAAAAACCAACCAATTTCTACAAGCTTATCGAGATTTGCCACGGATTGAGGTGACTATCAGATGCCGAATCCAAATTTCAAGTACGAGGAAAACATAATTTAGGATAGATAGAGAAGAAGAGTCTCAAACCTTTTGAACGCTTTGAGTTAATGCAACCAAACGGCCTTTTATCCAAATTGAGATAAGCCTCTTGCTCTGATGCTTTTGTCTAAATTTTCAGGAAAGAAAATGCATACTAAAGTTGATTAGTTTTATGAGCATTAGGTGCAAGTAATTCAATAAAGAAACCCTAGTAACATAGAGACTGTCTTCCCTCTCTATGCCTTTGCTCTAATGCTGTTGGTTGACTAATAAATATGTGAGAAAAGTCGCTTTTTTGTACTTGAAGGGGCGATTTGCATAGTACAACTATTCAAGATATTCGGTTATCTCTGTCGGACGAGATATTGTAACAAAAGATCCCCGATGGATACACAAAGGCAGTAGGTTCATGCCTCAAATTGAAGAGAGTTTATGAGTCCGATCAAAAGGGTGGATCAAATTGGGTAAAAAATAGTCCGATCCAAATTAACTCCTTTAACCCTTTTCCATGTGACACAAATATGGTGACCCATTCTCGACTCTACCTAATCTAACTCATACCCGATCCGACCCAACTTATACCCGATTTGATCCATATTATTAAAATACTTCTATATTTAATTCAATCTAAGAAAATTTATACTCAAATTGAGATGAGAGCACCTAGTTAACAAGGCCAATAACCTTCTTGGGGGCTTCCCTAACTTAAGCCTAGCCCATTGCAAAAGGGAGGAAAATAGGGTCGCGAATTGCATTGCGAATTCTCTTAGGATTGGTCTCTTCCTTTTAATTGGTTATCAAGCCCACCGGAAGCCCTATGGGCCTTACTTTGCTCTCATTCATGTCTTTTTTTCTCAAACTCTTTCAATAGCTAATGATATCTTTTTTCCGACAGAAAAAAAAAAAACTAAGATGAGAGCACGGAGCGAGCGAGTGTGAGATTAAGTGAGGACGAAAGAGAGTCAACAGGGAGTCAGAGAGGTGAGTTAGGTCTAAATAAGTTGTGAACCCATTTAACATCTATATTATTTGAGACTTTACTATTCTAAACCTATTTATGACCCATTTACAGAATATAATTAATCCATATAACAATCCAACCTATCAAATATGAATTAAGAAATGAGTTTATAATCTATTTTGATAGGTCTGGTTTATGATGACATTAATACTTTGCCAATCAATAGTTCTAAAAATAGCAGTTGCACACGTTTCAAATACGAGAAGATGTGCGTACTTTAGACTTAAATATATAGATATATGTTAATAGCATTGATAAGAACAAGCCCTAATGTTATGCTCTTTTGTTGTCAAAAACGCGATCCAGACTATAAAACCTGTCCGATTCAAATTGAGTGAACTAATTGAAAATGGGAGAAGAATACTGAAAGTGCCAAAAGTCTTTTTCCGGATCACTTAAGTGCCAAATTAGAGAAAAAACGATCACTTAAGTGCCAATTCCAACCAAATTGATTACGTGGCATTTATAATTAAAATTTTTAATATGACTTGGCATATTTTTAAAAAAATCCAGTTCACGTGAACATCCAAAACAACGTCGCACAATCCGACTAGCATTGAAGTGATCGTTTTTTAACAACGACCGGCACTGAAGTAATCACTTTAAAAAAAGTTTGGCACTTAACTATTTACAACTTTTAGACAACATTGTTGAGGGATTATATGCTGACTAGGCACGCCGGCAAGCCACGTAGGACTGAGAAACTAATAAAATATGGTCACGTCTAATTTCCGGCAACCCAGATCGGAGTTGGCACTTAAGTAATTATTTTTTAAAAAAAGTGGTACTTAAGTGATCTAGACAAAATTTTTGACACTAAAGTGAGCATCGTACGTAACTTTTAACACTTCTAATATCTTTCTCTCAGTTGAATACACACAAGGTACATAATGCATTGTTATCGAGGTAGGACCATGAGTTGACTAGTTAGAGAATAATTCGATTGTTCCGAGCCCAAAAGTACGGATCTTTTTGTGCTAGTAATTTCAATAAATGTCACTAAATGTCAAAAAGTTTAGTGGAAAAACTAATAGGTGTTTTTTTTAATGTAACTTGTTGGTAACTTATCAACACTTTTGTGAAATTATCAACTTTTTTTTATATTTGCAAGTGAACGGTTTTTTTTACCGACTTTTCGATTTTATTTACAAAACTTACTGAAGATGTCAATCGTTGAAAATTTTAGTCCGCAAACCAGAATCCAATTCATTGTACTCCACTCCATTATTTGTCATTCCTCGGAGGAATGTTTATTTACTAATACAGCCCTTGCTTTTGTGGATTTGGTGTTCATCGTCAAGACATCAATTTGATGTCCTCAATATTGCTGAATAAGATAGATACCAATGATGCAGAGTATTTAAGTTTCACATCACGGACCCTGCAGTCGTAACGTAAATCTGTGCAGTGCTTGAAGAACCTGCTTAAGCTTCTCCTTTGTCTCTGGATCAACCAAGTTTCCCTCACTGTCGAATTTCGTCGGTGGTTCGAATCTGTTCACAGAGAATTCGGGTTTGTTGATGAAATGAAGATCGACAAAGACTCCAATTTGACGGAGATGATACTGCGCTCGTCTCCCACCGAAAGGTCCTCCCGAGCTCACAATGGCAGCTGCCTTATCGGCCCAAACATTTGGTGGTCTAGATGCCCAGTCCATTGCATTCTTCAATGGTGCTGGTACAGCAAATAGAAGAATATGATTAAGAAATGAACGACTTCACAAATACATAACTTCCTCATCCTTTACCATCATGTGATGCCTAGGGAAAAACTCAAGCTGAGCCTTACTTGATCTATAAGATCATTAGGGTGTTCATGGCCCGAGATTTACTCACCTAAGGTGGGTTTGTTGAACGAAATATAAAACCTTCACTTCCGCAACTTTTATTGCTCAAAAAATATCAGAAGGGATCATTTTGTCCCACGGACTCAATGAGTAGAGCGTAAATTCTGTTTACTTGTAATACTTGTACCCTGGAACCCACGTTGTTGAAGTGGCAAAAGGCGCACCTAACAAGCATTGGGAGATTAGTATGAAGATGTTGTTTGATGGGGAAATTGAGCTTCTTTCAAATTTACTTTGCTTTAGTGAGATCGAATGATTTCGGCAATGTGTAGTCTACCACTGACTCTTAGATAAGATCACTAACAGACTTACGAATTCAAAATAGGAGTATATAGTTCTCTCTAGTGTATACGGATTCAATGAACTCGATATCCAATAATATCTGAGAGACAGATGACACACTATAATTTCTTCCACACAAAGATACCGATATTCCCAGGTATCCGTACCAATGCAGATGGTCACCTTGCCCCATAACTATTGACAGAACAAGGCTTCCTCATGAGGAGACAATTAACTCATAACATCCGAAGTGTTAGTGAAGCAGCATTCTCAAATTAGTTTAGGAAGGAGATCAGTCTCATAGTAAAGAAACTGAATGATTGGTCCACTAAGAACTTTTCATGCGACAGATGGTTGTTAAGAAAGCCTCAATGCACAAAATGATAATTAGATAAGTATACTAAAACACCTTCCTCTAACCAGTCAAATATGTGTGGGGAAAACCTCTCTATTATATTATGAAGTTGGCAAAACCATCTATTTTAATTATTGATAAATGCAGGTATTGTGAATATCAGGTGAAGTTGGTATGAGGAGTGCTTAGGCACTATCAATGGTAACTGAAGTATATAGTTGAAGGACATCTACAAGTTGGATGGACCTTATGGAGGGTGAACTAGTTTGGTAGAACGAGGTGTTCGTGAGAACTTGGAAAGACTGTAAGCTGTAATATTGATCGCTAATATACTCAAGAAGACCAATGAATAGTATATCATAAGTCAATTTCCAGCGGCTCGCTTGAATAAACTCATTGGATTCTTGATAGAGGCAGCCCCCTATATCAACTATATATGAGATGTTCATCATGTTTTTTGAATTAACTGGATAAGATGACCCAAACCTCTTTCCAATTTAATTGTAATTGGTGTCTAACGGTTAATCACAAGTTCTAGAATTCATAGAAGGAGGACAGGAGATTGAATCAAATCAGTTCTTGCATATTTTGTTCAAACAACTAGAGGAACCAATAAGTGACAAAATCATCGGACTCTATTTAAGGAAACTTCCCTATTGCCAGGATTGATTGTATCGACTGTGTCCAGGATCTCCAACAGCTATTTAATCTTCTTGAAGATCCTCCGAGGCAAGATTGAAGACTAAGGATCTATATAAGAAGATTCAAAGCAAGATGAAGGGTGTGGCAAAAGTAGAGAAAGCTATGAGTTTGATATTATCTTGTTCTATTTACTGAGAATGTGACTATGCTCACTTGTGATTTTCTCTATTAAAGTTTCCAGTGAAATCTCCGATTTGATAAGTGAACAAGTGTAATAGCAGTACTTGAGTATTGATAGTGAGATCTACCAGTTTCCGAAAGAGGCATAACTTGCTACTTCATAACATAGCGTGTTCTATCCTTGTTGGTATGAAAGTGGACTTAAGCTTGATATAAGTTGAACCACCATAGTATTTGCTTGCAAATATTCTCTGCTATCTTTTTATTCATTTCTATATTTTTTTGATAGAAGCATGCGCACATGATGTTATTAAGCTATTCATGCATCTATCTATTTTAACTTGAATTATTCAGCCAAAAATTGTCTAAGTTTTGCGAATCAGCCTATTCACCACCCCTTTATATTGGGTTGTTAGCCTCAACAACATGCAATGATTCAATAGACAAGGCTGACAACCTAAGTAAAAATGTTTGAGTGGGTGCAACATACATAAGCACAGCCTCCTCAACAGCCAAAAAAAAAAAAGAGAGCAAGTTTAACACAACTATGAACAAGTAAACAACTTAAATAAAACAGAGAAAAGTGGTTACGAGTCACGGAGTAGTTATACTCAGGGGAAGCAAAAAGGATGCTGTCGGCTGCCAGAACCTTCTGGCGAAAAGCCTCCACCGCCGGCGGGAACCTGCCGTCGACTTCGAGGTCCGTGTTTATCATCGGAAGGGATGATACGTCGATCAGCTCTATTTGCATCCCCTTCACCGATTCCTCGCATATCTCGATCGCTATCACCATCAACAGGAAAAGGAAGCGAACACATTCAGACAAAAGAACAGCAGATTTAGCTCGCGGCTTTCGAAAATTAGGATCGACGTGATTACCGGAACGAAGGAGGCCTCGATTGAGAGAAGCTTTTCGAAGTGACCCGCAGATCGCTGCGACCTTGATCACTGGGCCAGCGACCACCGTCGATTCCATCTCTCTCTCTCACTCAATAGGAATTGTCAGTGAACGAACAGTGGCATGGCAGGGAAGAAGAAGAAGAAGAAGTTGACCAAGTAATGACGATTACGTTTTCTCTCTGTCTTCTCAAGGAGTAGGTGGAGTAAAAAATTTGAAGAGCGCCAATGAACGAAGGCATTGATGACGAGGACTGAGGGAGGGAGGATATGGTGAGGTCGCAAGCAGAGTTGCTCTGGCTCGTTGACCGTTCCTTTTGGCTTTGTAGAGAGACTGGCGGTTCCAATAGTTTGAGAGCGGGTAAATTGCCAAATCAGTTATAAACCTATTGTAAAGATATCAATTCATTCATAAACATTTTAGTTTTGACAATTTAGTCCTAAACCTTTACACGGAATTTCAATGTAGTCCTTCCGATTGATTATCAACGGAAATTGCTAACGTGGTGTCCGGTCATCGCCGTCCTACGTGGCAAGTTGACGTGGACAACTTTACTTTGCACGGCATCCTATGTGGACAGCCACATCAGTGATTTCCTATGGTGATTGGCCAAAAGGATTACATTAAAATTTCACACAATGATTTAAGATTACATTGGTGAAATTGAAAGAACTGAATTAGCATATGTATAAAAAGGTTTTATGATTAAATTGGTAAATTTCTAGTTTGGGATCTATCAGTGTAGAATTTAAAAAAAAAACACTAAAAATATGAGATGTTTAGATAAGGAAATGACGCTCCCAAAATTCATTCCCAGTGAATCTTGTAGAACACATTAACAAAACTTCCTCTAATTATTTATCAGATGAGTTCTATAGCCGTGACGAAATATTCAGTTTGAACCATAATTACTTTATGTAGTGACCGAGCCCAGCATGGTTTCCCAACCCAGTACTAGTGGAAGTAGATGTTAGAATTAGTAAAATTGATTTTGGTTGAAGAAGAAAAGTTAAAATTGGATTTCGATTCTCAACCGACTCCAACATTTAAGACAAGGAGAGCGCAGCCTGCACCTTGAAGACACGTAGAGTCCAAGTTGGAGAAGTTGCTTCTTTGACCAAAATTTGTAATTTGAACGTGGTTTCCTTTTTGATTAGTTGAAGTCGGCAAAAGAGCAAAAGTTCAACTTTGTTTCTTACATGTTGAAGTCGGCTTACCTCTAGGCGGTTAAAATTGTTGTAAAAAAGCTTGTCTTGAATGTTTTATTTTTTTGTTGAAAATCGTTCTTCACATGCAGAGAAAAGCTTCACTTTGTTTTGAAAAGCACACTATTATATACGAAACTTTTGTTGGAATTGATGAATACTTCGGAGACTCTTGTTTCTCATATCGGACATGCCCACGTGAGTTTAGGAAAATCAAAGTATGATCCGACAACATGTGACCCCTGCGCACGGAATGCGAGGGTTTGGGAGCAGCGCCCCCAAAACAGGGGTCCCGCTGACCGGACAACGGGCGAGGGTTCCGCTCCCCGGTGAGCGGACGGTGGCCCCACTAGCCAGTGAGCGGGCGGGGGCTCGGGGGCAGCGCCCCCGAAACAACATCAAGTTTACTAGCCCATTTGTTGTGAGATTAAAGGGATTCGGATAGACTTGGGCTTTGGGCTCATTTTAAGTCCTATATATATTGTACTTGTATGAGATATCATTGTAACGAGTGGTTGTGGTTGTAAACCCTAAATATCATAGTAGAATCCCTTTGCAGGACGTACTCCTATTCGGGAGTGAACTTGGGTAAACTTGTGTATCAATTTTTCTATTATCTGTGTGATTGTTTTGATTCTGTTTCGGATATAACCCCATCAACTTTTCTATCTTGTGTGGTTGTTGGTGCCTTGCCATTCCTCTCCTTCGTTGCGTTCCACGTCCAAGCTTCCGCAAATCAACATTAGGGACGGGTTATCTCACGTTATGGCATAACTGAACCTACGTGGCAGAATAACCAAGGCTTTCTAAGGGTGAGAAGCGATTGGGGGGTTCAAGCCCATGACCAGACGGGCCCAAACTACTAGGGAGGAAGCTTTACGTCGCTCCGACCAACCACCGCACTGGTAAACTTCATTGTATGTTGTTTGTGAGTTCATTTGACTTCAACGATTTCACATATCTCATTAGAGAAAACAGGAGAATGTTAAATAGTTGCTTTCTCTAACCCACTAACGTACACTTTATTTGAAAATATTACCTCTTTTTGGACCCTTTTTTAGTGTATCTATTGTGATATTACATGGGGACAATTCCTCAACATCTTTGTTCATTCGCAACAAAGTACGTGAAAATGGAGAAGTTGGAAGGGAAGGAGAAGTTTGAGGGCACTCGTTAGTATAGACTCGGTAATGAATTTGACAATTCGATAGATTAGTTCATTCTTACGACGAACTTATGTCAAACTTTTGCATTTGAAGCTAAGCCTGAGTTAATGGACAAATGTCCTCTTGAGAGTCTAGCATGTGAAGATCCATCCTGTTTACACCAAAAATAATTGCGTTGTCGACATAAACAAGCTCGTGCTTGACACGTGAACATGGACGGTCGCATGAATGACACATGAATATTACCATGCACGTGACATCTTGTCGACGACCGTAGGGGTTTGATATTTGTTGATCAACATTGAGACACATCGGCGACACATATTCAATTGTCAATATACGATGATGAACAGCTAGTAACTATGGGTATGGATACTGGCATGGATATGATGGGTGAAGAGCAGTATACCATCAAAGTTCTTTGAAAGCATGAGAGGCAAAGGAATATGGTAACCAACTTGCAACAAATCAATTGGGGCAATGGATTAATTGGCAGGTGTTTACTTAAGGAACGTCGAAGCACGACTACAAAGCTCAAAACCTACGAATCAGTTGAGATTGAGGAGAAATGGGCATGCATTTTGGAGGAGACAATTACTTGAGAAGTAAGAACACAGGGCATCGGTTGTGCAAAAGTGCAAAAGTAAGATAAGATCATGGGGCTATTAACACACCGTCTAGAAAGAAACTGCTTGGTTGCAAAATCATGGCATCATGAGAATGTGAACACGAAATTTGCAAAAATAGAGGGACATGAAGGCAATCGAGAGTAACCGTTCGAAGAAATGCAACTGCTGAAAATCGTCAGAAAGCAGTTACCATTATAATCTTTATAGTCACAAGTAAAACCGCATTTTACCTGTCTAGCAGTTCTTCGACCGGAACCTCCTCTTCATTGCAGAGACAGGGGCTCATCGTTGCCACTGCAGTCGCCTCTAAGGAAGCTCTTCGTAGAAGGGCGTGGTGGTTGCGGCTTGGTGCCGTTTAATTAAGGTTTAATCTCACTTGATTCAGGTTTAATTAAGGTTTGATATTAGTAGCATTTTAATTATGCCCATATAATTATATTAAACTTGTTCTGATCGGATTAAGCTAGGGAGGTTGTGAACTTAATTAAATTAAGCCCACAAGAACAAGAAAATTGGCCCAAACCCAAAATCTTTACCATGTTGTCGAAAATCGAATGCGCAAAGCTCTTGTAATTCCAAATTAATAGAATGAAGATTTCGTACATTACAGGAAGAAATATTGTGGGTGGAATCTATGAGCATATTTACCGTGGGTTTAGAAAAGGAAGATTGGTCACACATATATATATATTTAAAATTCCTTAAAGCAACAATATATTAAACTCATTCTAAGATAAAGAGAGAAAAAAAGAACAAAGAGAAGACATTCAATGGGTATAAACATGGGGAGGACTGGTTGGGATCCCATGTTACGAGAAGATATCTTTCGCCGCAGGAAATTCTTCTAAAAAGAGAAAGAGGATCGCATGGGGGTTGCCTTCGTGGTTATCTCCACTTTTGAGATAACTGTACTGTACTTTACCCGCATATATATTCACAGAATCAAGTGAGATCGAAGACACGTCCACTTCTCCAAATCTGGAAAGGCCACACGACTTGAGCGAGCATCTTCACCAGATGCCTCTCTTCCGCCCGTCATCTTCAATCAACATGGTCTTTGCAGCAAAGAGCGAGCGCATCTCCTTACCTACAGATCGTTGTCCTGCTAACCGGTCTTTTAGCAAGGGTACTACCTCGCCGAGTTGGTTCGAGGCAAGCTAAACCATCGTCATGGTTGCTGTTCAGTCGACTTCAGTTGCTGTTTCGCTGGACCGTCGCTGCCATAGGCTTATTAATCGCCACTCGGGTTGCAGCTGATCCGGAACAAAGTTGACTCGGGATACCTTAGGTTGTCGCTGTCCACGTCCAGGTATTGTGTCGCCATCGCTGGAGTTATGCGGAGTTTTGTCAATGCCGAAGTACACGCTCAGTAGATTACAGGTATGATCTCCAAACAATTTGCAGTGATCACTAGCATTATCGTGAATTTACTTGGTCTGTGTTTAATTACGGCGAAGGTAGGAGGAAATCGTGGTCAGTTAACTGCTTGCTTCTTGCCCATTCGCGAGTAGTCAATAAGGTTGATCCTAATAGTTTCTTCTTGTGACGTGTCCGCGCCGGATGGTAAAAGAAATAAAAAGAATTTCCGTCAATTTGGCATTACATGATTCACGTTTGCCCCTAAGTTAATTTGGTATCTGAGAATATTCTGACTTTTAGGCTCCTATCGTTTACGGAAAACATTTTTGGGGAAAACATTTTCCTCATTTTTCGGTGTTCGGTTCGCTCGGGAAAATGAATCAACGGAAAATATTTTTTTTGTCAACAGAAAATCTGTGCTTAAATTAAGAAAATGATTTCTTCTTTGAAAAAATCAAAAAACAATTTCCAATATATTAATAGGTATTGGCGTTTGGATCCAAAACTCTACGTTTGAATGCTGGGACCCAAATGTTGGTTCCAGAGTCTTTAATGCCCAAGCCGGGTCCATCAAGGCCAGGCCCGGGTCCATCGAGGCCGGAGTCGCGTCCGTTGAGGTTGGCTTAAGACCCCATTGCCTAGGCCTGGGCCCCCGGCGCCCATGCCCGGGTCCATCGAGACTGGGCCCGATCCCCTAGTGCCCATGCCCTATGCCCTAACACCCGAACCCGCATCCACAAAGGCTGAGCTTGGGTCCTCGGCACTCAGGCTCGGGTTCTTAATTAATGAAAAGCTCGTTTTTATAAAAATATTTGTAAAAAAATCAAAATTTTAATTATTTTT